GTGGATACAGAGGGACTGGGAGATGGGTGGGATTGGGATGTTTTAGCACTTTAAAAATCTGAAAAAAATCTGTTTTATTTTTATTTTTGTGTGAGAGAGTAGGGAACAGATATATCTGGTCTTCTTTGATTAATCGAAAGCCATGGTCAGGTTTAATTGCAGTGGCAAATGCCTTTATATATTCTAGTTAACAAAACAGAAGAGAGATAGTTAAATTAACAGACAGGGCCAATGCTTCCATCCTGTCCAGTCATTATTTGATTAAAAAAATTTTTTTAAGCAATGATACCTACCCAGGCAGGTTGTTTGTCAAGCCTGTTGCCTAGGACATATCAATATGTCTATTTACTTGTGTCCTCTTGCTTCCTCATAACCAGGAGAACAAGAAAGAGAGCAGTAACAGATGGATCATCAAGACATTGGCTTGTTTTAAATGTGGACGACTGCAACGATGGATGGGAATCTAGGTCAGCACTGTTTACGGAGAGCACATGGTGTTTTGTTTCAATGAGCAGGAAAATGTTTTGTGATTAAATGTGGTAAAAAAGCTGGTCATTTTTTCCAACTAAGCAGTAAAAGGAATTACTCACTGTAAAATGATAAATCAAAAGTCCTCCGAGTCATTGCTAAGGCAAGGAAAATGTGCAGCTGTGACAGAAACTGTGTTTTCCTGGGTGTTAAAAATAAAACCAAATGCACTGAACTGGAAATCAATAAAGCATGCCCTGGAACTGCAAACGATTCTGGGGTGCTCAGGGAGTTAAATGCAGTTTATGTGTTTCAGTAAATTCCTTCAAATGGCGGCACATGTCTTAAACTCGAGGCAACGTTTAGGCCCTCAGACTTCTTTGAGCATGGGAATCTCTTCAGCTTTATTTTATTTTGTTTGCTTTTGCTGGTTTGTTTGAGACAGGTCTGACTATGTAGCCCTAGTTGATCTAGAACTCACCTTGATCCACCTGCCTCTGCCTCCTGAGTGCTGGGATTAAAGGTGTGGGCCACCATGCCTGTTGAATTTGTTTTTTTGAAATATGGTCTCACATAGTCCAGGGTGGCCTCAAGCTCTTGAAGTGGCAGAGGGATGACCTTGAACTGGTTCTCCTGCTTCCACCTCCCAAGTGCTGGAACTGTAGGTATTCACTACCACACCCAACTTTCCTTCAGTTTTAATTTGCTTCTTTTTTTCTTATGATAAATTTAAGGACAATTAAAGTAACACAATTTATTTGATACTAACATATATAATCTAAAATAATAATGAATTGTCTTCTAAATAAATCCTTCTCTCACTACCCCTAAACTAGGTAGAGAGGTATCTAGTTATCTAGTTATGACTTATTTTTGGGTGGTAGAATTTTGAGTCATCGTTTCTTTCTTGTTTGTATATTTCCACAAGTCTATAATGTGTTAATGTGCACATAATCCTTTTATTAAAATAAGGCTGGCTTCGCTTGCCTAGCAAGCGCAAGGCCCTGGGTTCGGTCCTCAGCTCCGGAAAAAAAAAAAGAAAAGAAAAAAGAAAAAAAAAAGGCAGGCTTTAAAATTTAAACAAACCTTAGATATATTGGCTCGAAAAAGCCAAACAAAAACCCTGAAAACCAAAACCAAACAAAAAACAAACACAAACAAAGAAAACTAAAACTAAAAACAAGCATGTGGGCGTGTAGGCTGAGACTGCCTTCTGCTGTAGGCTGTTCACAAGGGGACAGAGGCATGCCGATGCCCCTGCAGTAAGTTTCCTATGGTGTCTGTGGTTGAGAGCATTCACAGTCTTAAATATGCGAAGTACTCCATTTCATTGGTTTTCCTTAACCAGCACTTCTATGGCTTGAAAAGGTGGCAGGTACCATTCTGCAGCCAGGCATGAGTCCTCCAAATAACCCACAGGAGGGGGAAAATTATGACCATGTTCCTTCCGTGAGCCCAGAGATTATTTGAAGATAAATGTCTGTAAATACCCTGTTGCACGAGATGGTAGCCTCTTCCCCCAGAACCTGTAGACCACCCTTCTTTCAGCTGTTCACCTGGCACTGTTGAACAGACCTGTACCAGCCCCTTTTCAGATAGTAACTGATTGAAGGTGTTCAGCCACAAAATTGGTCTGGGGGAGAGAAGGGATGTCTCTGTCTTTGCTATGCTTTTCTCTGTGTTACTGTGCCCTGTCATCTCTTTCTACTGCTCTGTAGCTACTGGGTAGTGCTTATTTGTGACTCAAGATGTCTCTGTGTTTTGTTTTTGTTTTGAGACAGAATCTCACTAAGTCCATGAGGCTGCCCTCCAGCTTGCAATCCTCCTGCCCCAGCCTTCCAAGAGCTGGGTTACATGTATCAGCCACCATGAGCCATCTCTCATCGGTTGCAAATTAAGTAGCCTATAGTAACTATTACCTGCGTGGGTCAAATGATGCCTCTGTGTTAAACTCACAATGTTTAAAAAAACTAAACTAAGCTACACTAAAATTTTATTCTACTTAAATACTTATAAACCTGATGGTTATAGTTCTTATAAATCAGAACTAGAAGAAAATTATGAATACCACCCAAACTTTATAATCAAATTCAAGTCAACATTAGTTCATGTCAGAAAACGGTTACAAAATATTCCGAAATGACCAATTTAAACAAAAAGAATACTGGACATTCTAAGTAGTGAACTCTTCTGATTTAATTTTTATTATCTCCCACTGGTTTTTACAACTCCGTGAGATGTAGCAAAGTGATAGTAATGAAAATGATTCTTGACCTTAAAAATATGAACGCACCATGTCCTGCGCAGTGGAGAAGGGATTACTGCCCTGTGGACACTGACTCACTTTATCCCTGTCTGCACATATATTTTATTAGTTTTGAGCACCTTGGCCATTTATTTACTCCTTTTTTATTTGTTGTTGTTTGAGACAGGGTCTTGCTATGTAACCCAGGCTGGCCTAGGAGTCAAGATTCTCCTTTAGCCCCCTAAGTCCTAGGATCACGTTCTAACATGCCTGGAGGCCCTGTGCATTTTACTTGTATTTTTTTCTTTGTATAATAATTTATCTATTTGTGAAAAAAAGCAATTTTACTTACATTCACAGACTTAAAACTTTTTTAGTTCTTGAGAATTTTATATACATATCCAGTGAAATATGATTATATATATATGTATATATATACATATATATTCATCTCCTCCCTTCAAATTCTCCCATATCTCCCCGAATGTTCCCCTCCAAATCAAATATACATTTAAATTTTTCCTTGAGTAGACTATCATATTTGTCTTACTGATTAGTTCAGACTCTCTCTCTCTGATTTCATCTGTTTTTCCATTTGTATAAGCATTGTAACATCAACTTTCCTCAAAAATGCCTTTTATCATTCATTTCATGGCATATTTTGCTGATAAGAAATTGTTTCAATGATTTCTTGTGTAAGTGAATGAAGGACAGAAGCTTAACTCCTGGTGTCAAATTCTACCTCTCTACTTTAGTGGTCGATAGACACTTGAGAGTGCCGGGACCTGTCACACCCTCCTTTACACTTGTTTATTGTATTATTTATCAGGTTTAGAAACAAAGCTTGAAGCCAACTTTTGGGGGCTACCTGCTTTTTCAAACATTTGCTTTCTTCCCTGCCACACCTGGTCCGCAGGCTTGGCCAAAGAGTTTCCAAGACACCCGTGGAGCAATTTGGGCCCCAGAGGAGTTAGGAATGTGAATCTGCTGGAATTTAGATGTCTTGATCGGTGGAACTGGTTTGAGCTCTGCATCGTGTTTCTCAAGACCACCCCAATAGCTGTTTAGTAAGGAGGTGAGGGGAACGCAGCTCCTCAATCTGACAGTGTATGCTCTCCTCACTCACTGGATCTACACTGTCTGCTATGGTAGCCACTACCCACTGGGATGCTCTTGTGCTTAAAAATGGAGAATGTAATTCCTAATGTTTAGTATTAACTAATTTAAATTTAGACGTGAAAATAATGTTTCATTTGGTTATTTTGAAACACATTTAGATTACTCGGATGACTCAATCATCTTTATTATTTATTTAAGACAGGGTCACACTCGGTACCCTTGGCTGGCCTGGAACTCACTGGTTTCCAGCTCATTTAGAGATCTGCTGGCTTCTGCCTCCCTAAAGCTGGGATTGAAGGCATGAGGCACCATTCTTTGCTTATCTGCTCTTTAATCACACAATTTAATAAAATCAGTATCAGAAACAAATATTTCCAGTCATTTCCCTCTCAGATTAAAATATTATGTAAATGAACACACCAGATTTCAAAGTCTTATTACCAAAAAAAGGTAACCTAATTTTTTTCTTTTTTGCTACAGATAACACATTGGAATGATATTTTAGATACAATAGGTATACACATTTTTCTTTTCTTTTCTTTTTTCCTTTTTTTGACTTTTTGAGACAGGGTTTCTTTATGTAGCCTTGGCTGTCCTGGAACTAGCTCTGTAGACCAGGCTGGCCTCTCCCTCACGAGTGCTGGGATTAAAGGTGTGCCCACCCCCCACTATTAATTTTTCTTTTTTTAGACAAAGTTTCTCTGTTTAGTCTTGGCTGTCTTGTAACTTGTTCTGTAGACCAGACTGGCCTTGAACTCAGAGATCCGCCTGTCTCTGCCTCCCGAGTGCTGGGATTAAAGACGAGAGCCACCACCACTCATTATACACCATTTTCATCTTTGTTTTTTATCATTTTAATGTGGTACCATAAAATTTAAGATCACATCCCTGGTTGATGCTGGTGGTTGAGAAATGAGGCCCTGAGCCATCCTTTTTGGGACTACTTCCTGGCTAATACTGTAAAGCATCTTCGTGGTTTTGAAGCTCGTTTTTTATGATTTGGCTTCCTGACCCCAGGTTCTTCCTCCTTGCTAGATGATTCTGCCTACTTTCTGGAAAAGGTCTGCAGGTTAGGAGCACCCAGGCAATTGCTGATTTCCGCCGCCAGAGAGAGCTGCGTCGCTATCCTTGTTGCCCGGCAACCTCTAGTCCGGAAGTACTTCTTTGTCCCGCCCCATGGCGGCCGCGCGCGCGAGCACTTCCGGCAGTGCGGGCGCGGGGTCGCGCTGAGCGGGCTTGGAAATCTGGCTGCGGCGCGATGACCACGCTCCGGGCCTTCACCTGCGACGACCTCTTCCGCTTCAACAACATGTGAGTGAGGCACAGGGCAGCCGCTCCCTTCGCAGCGCGGCCCGGGGTCAGCCCCGCGGGGCCGTGGGCCGGGTGGGCGCTGCGCGGGGGCGCTGGCCGGTGACCTTGGCCGAGGCTCGGCGTTCGGGGGGCGCCGGGGAGACGCCGAGCTGGGCTGGACACCCTGCGCCCGCTCCCCGACCCGGGCTCACAGCGGAGGGTGGGCCGGGAACCGGCGCCGTGCTGGTTAAATTGTATCCCAGTGAAGTAACCTTGCTGTGCTCCGGGCCCCTGCAGCAAGTTGTGGTTTGTGCTTGGTGGTTACTGTAGCTGAGCGCCCCAAAGCCGAGCGCTTTAAAATAATAATAATGATAAAAATAAAAAAAGGTGTCTCATTTTGTATTCCTGGCTTCCTGGAACTCACTGTTAGACCAGGCTGGCCTCGAACTCCCAGATCCTTCTGCCTCTGCCTTCCTAGTGCTGGGATTAGAGGAGTGTGCCACCACTATACTTGACTACATTTTTGTGTGTGTGTGTGTGGGGGGGGGGGGTCCACTGTGCCCAGGAAACCCCGGTGCTGTGGTCTCTATCAATCCAAGTTTAAAAGACATGTGATTTGCCGTTCTCCCTCTCTCGCTTTTTAAAAGAAAAAAATATATTAGTTTGGAAATTTATGTTCATTTAAAAAGCTAAACATTTCACCGTGACCTCCTGTGGACACATCACCTGCATTATTCGCTTGACGTAAGTTTCATCACTTATTGTATGTAGGACAGAGCAATGAGAACTACAGACCAGGTGGTTCAGGTTTCATTTGGGAAAGAACTCTGGGGTGAGATAACTGGATGAACCTTGATGAAGAAAATATGGTGAGGAGGAAGTTTGGGGGAAGGGCACAGGTGAGAAACCGGGAATGTAAAGCAAGGGTAGCAGGTGAAACTAGTTTTAGGTACCATGTTGAGAAGTTCAGATCCAGTCTTGTGCGATTTCTATTAGGCCCAGCCTGTGTTGAATCCTCATGGCATGTAACACCTCTGGCAAGCGCTCATGTAATAATAAGCCATTTAATCTTCACACATGCTGTCGTGTGCTGATGTCCTTCCTCAGTTTATGGGTAAAGGAAGGCATTGCACACGCACAGAGCCCTTACGAGGGAGTAGGTGGAGAAAGGAATCTTATCCTAGGAGATTCACCCTGGTGGTTGTTAAATTGGTCCCATGGAGCTAGAGAGAGATGGTTCCATAGTTAAAACACTGGCTGCTCTTTCAGAGGACAGGGGTTCACTGCACATGGAGGCTCACACCTGGCTGTAATACCCGTTCCAGAGCCTCTGATGTCCTTCCCTGGCTTCCATGGGCACCCCACACACATGTAGTGCACAGACACATATGCAGGCAAAATACCACACCTATTAGATGATGAAAACAGTTAATCCTGGCACTCAGGAGGCTAAGGCTGGAGGATCTCAAGTCTGAGGTTCTTTGGTATCTACGGGTGATTGCTTCTAGTTCCCACCAGACACCAAAATCCAGTGATGTGCACCCCCCTTATTACAGTGGTGTGGTATGCAAATAACCCAAGCACTTCCCATGTACTGTAAGTCACTATTAGGTTACTTATATAATGCAATGTACATGTTTTATAAATAGTCTCAATACTGTTGTTTAGGGAATATGATGGGGGGATCTATAAAGGTAGAGACACGTGGTGTTTAAGAATACTTCAATCTGAGTTCTGAGCCGGTGAGTACATGGTGATTGATTAGAGGAGGTAGAGCAGACAGGTAAGCCATTGAGGAGTCCTTGGCAGTGGCCTAGAAGGATGGGAGATGCTGTGTATATGATACAGTGCCTGAAGTATTCAGAATAGACAGGAGAATCAGTTTTGAATACTTAGGAGAAGACTGTGGTTTAATATGGGAATGGATAAAGTAGAAGAAAATGCACATGAACACTTTTTAAACATTAGATTTTAGCTCACCTGGCTTGGTAACGCCTCTTCTTGTTAATGCCAACAAAGGAGCCTACTTTTCTCATTTCTGATAATAGGCCGTGTTAGGAAACAGTGAGTCACGGGTTAGGTGGTGGAGAAGGGACTGAAAGAAGCAACCAGTGCAGATCATTTCACATATGTGCTGTTGCTGGAGACACAGCAGTGAGAAGAACAGAAATCACTTGGTGTCTATGGAATTTATATTTTAGAGAACAGGTAGCTGAATAATATATAACAATAGAGGTTTTATACACACACACACACACACACACACACACACATCTATATGTATGTATATATGCACACACAAGAAGCAGGGAATAGAAACTTTAGTGAGAAGGGATACAGCTTCTGGTATTGAAGGAAAAGGTCACTGAAAAGGGTGTCGGGGAATAAGATGGATCGTGGATACCTGGGCTGGGTATCTGTTTATCTGGGTAGGAGGTGGTAGCCTATGCAGCTGGAGTCTAGTCAGTGCTAAAGCCTAAGAGATAGGTCTGAGAGTGTAAAGGCCTGGATCTTGGAGTCTTCTCTGACAAGTGCACTGAGATGCTCAGTGGGTCAAAAGATTGGGTTTTAAGGATCAGCACTCTGAGGATAGTGACAGTTGGCCAGGAAGCTAGATGACAATGACATCAACGATGGAAGGAATGTTTTTAAAAAATGAAAACAAAACTCTACACTGTCCCCTCAGAGTGCCAAATGCTAGAGTAAGTGAGACTGATAGGCCAAACCAGGTGGGAGGAAATCTGGGGTGGGGTTCCAGAAGCCAGCTAACAAGAGGACTCCAAGTAGAGTGGTGGTGGCTGAGTGTGTGCCACATCTGTACATTCCTTTCAGGGAGAGGCAGACCTGCACATACAGGAGTAAGTGTGTGCCACATCTGTACACTCCTTTCAGGGAGAGGCAGACCTGCACATACAGGAGTGTGTGTGTGCCACATCTGTACACTCCTTTCAGAGAGAAGCAGACCTGCACATACAGGAGTGTGTGTGTGCCACATCTGTACACTCCTTTCAGGGAGAGGCAGACCTGCACATACAGGAGAGGAAGAGTTGAGGGAGGTGTCCTGAATGGTGAGGAGGGTGTGGTCAGTCACCTGTGTAATGGCAGAAGAGAAGCAGCATCGGGGTGCAGGTGCTTTTAGGTAGGTGGGTGAAGTCAGCCTTAGGCCTTTGGCAGTTTCCTTATGATTTATTGCATTTGTGTAGAAAGAGATGAGGAAGGGCAGCCTGTTGGAGAGTTGAGGTGAGCCAAAGATGTGAAGGAGTTAAGTGGAGGGTACCGACTCCACAGGGCAGGGCCACAGCACCCAGAGGTCCTCAGGATTAGTTCATGACTTCCGTCAAGTCAAAGCTGTTCTCTCTCACAGTGCTAAGAAGGAGGTTTTGTAGGCATCCAGTCTCTTCAATAGCAAGCATTACAAGCACTAGAGGAGTCAACTGTTTTTCTTTTCAGTCAGACACTGAAAAACTACAATGCCACTGTCACTTGTTTTTTGTTTACATCACTAGATTTCTTGGTAAAATTATTCATGTCAACATGTATTTACTTTTAAATGAAGAACTTAAAATTGGAAATATTTACATAGCCCGTATAGGTTAAGGTTTCTATTGCTGTAATAAACACAGACCACAGATATCCTGGGTCAGTCAACTGAGGGAAGCCGAGGCAGGAACCTGGAGGCAGGAAGTGAAGCAGAACCCATGTAGGAGTGCTGGTTGCCGCCACCTTCCCTGGCTTGCTCAGTTTGCTTTCTTAGACACACTAGAATGACCTGCCCAGGGATGGCACCACCCACAGTGGACTGGGCCCTCCCACATCAGCCATTCATTGGTCAAGAAAATGCCTCATAGACTTGTCTACAGACCAGTTTTGTGGAGGCACTTTCTCAAATGAGATTGCCTCTTCCCAGATGTCTAGGTTTAGATTGACAAAAAACCAACCAGTACACTTTATAAATAAATACACTATCTTTATAAATAAATTCACTCTGTCTTTATGGAACAGCACAGAAAACATCACATGGGGAAAGAGTGGGATACTTCACAGAAATCTGTAACAGATTTTACAAGGGATTCCATCTCTTGCTCCAACTGATCCTAACTGGCCAAGACAACAAACAGCATCACACATACCATTGTTTATCAGCCAATATCCAAACACTGTATTTGACCTTTGTGGAGGATATTCATTTTAGGGGACTGCTTCAACCTCTGTGTCTGCTGCTTCCTGCAAGTGATGCACATGCATTGTTCTCGGTCAGGGGCATGAAAGAGTATGTAACTTAAGGTTACAGCTATGTATTAGGTTCTAAAAATTGATTACATGGGTGATCCAAGGCAAGTAAGGTTGATTGTTACATTGTTCTTTTAAAGGCAGGTTAAACAAACAGGATGAGTATACATACAGTAGGCTAACAGTCAAGTGATTTCAAGTGTGTTAACAGCTCTGGCCCGGAGGTCTGGCAAAAGTTCCATTCTCTTAGGAAGTAAGAGATATTTTCATAATACTCCACTGGCACAGGTTTTGAAACCCAAAAGGTTGAGAATCGTTGGACTAGAGGAATGTCTACCTGATGTCCTTCAGAGTTCAAAGATTGACAAGAAAGGGAAATAGTTGAAATAGCTGCTTTTGAGCCTGGCAAAAGACTGACTAGGAAAGTGAAGGGTGAGAGATGGTTGGAGATGTTTTCAAGAATGCTCAGTTTGGGGTTGTGTGATGGGACATGTTGGGTAGTTGCCGCCAGCACCAGGGCTTGGTTAACAGGAGGAAGCAGGATGAAGTCCAGTGAAATTGGGTTGAAAGTGCACGGGGTCAGTGAGGATTTGTAGTAGTGGGGAAAAGTGAAGGTGGGAAGTACTCATTGAGAAGGGTAAAGTGTAAGGAAGGCCCAGAGGTAGGCGGGGTGGCGCAGTAGGGAGCAGGGGAGTTGACTGGCTGTACTAGGAGACACATGCCTAACTGGTCCTCATGTCTACAGAAGTACAAGAGTCGGTGGAGTTAGCTGTAATTCTGCTTGTAAAGAAGCAGTTCAATGAAAATGTACAGATCCCTTTATTGGGGCCACATGTGGCTACTGGGTCATTTAAATCATTTTCATTGGTTCTCAGGTTAGTTTCAGAGTTGTACAAGAAACACATTTTGTTTTTTGTTTGTTTGGGTTTTGAGACAGGGTGTAATCCTGGCTGTCCTGGAACTCTCTGTAGACCAGGCTGGCAGAGAGCCGCTTGTCTCTGTTCCCATGAGTGCTGGGGTTAAAGGTGTGTGCCACCACGCCCAGCCCATATTTTGTTTTGATTAACATAATCTCTGTAGTTTTCACAAGTTTACTTAAATTGAATTCAGGAATTCTTATTCTTGCCATTTCTTGTTTCTTTCAGTAACTTGGATCCACTTACAGAAACTGTATCCTTTTTTGAGAAAAAAGTAAAACTAAGGATTATTTATGAAGAAAAAGAAAATTGGAGAAACAGAAGGAAAAAACAGATGAGTACTGAAAAAGGTTGAAACATGTAGGTTTTGAACAGCATAAGCAACATTGGAAGTGATCACAAAAATGAGAGTGGAGTGGCCTTGGGCTTGCCCACACCCTGTTAACACAATGACTTTGTATGAATCAGGACTACCGTAGCTCTGCTGCTCCCCTTGGCCAGCCACAGTAAACCTGGCTGTACACAGCAGTAACACAACAGTGACTGGGGGCCTCCGTCTGCTGTGAACCAAGTCTAGAGGGGCGGGTAGCTCAGGTACACCTACTCCGTGATGTCTCCAGCAGCCATGCTCATGAGCACCTGGGTCTTTGAGTCTAGATAGCTTCCAGAACACACCTTTGTGTCTGTGTTTCTGGCTGTGCAGTCAGCAGAGGGGAGGTGATCTCTTTGGGAAGCACTACACAGCCTCTCTCACTGCCCAGTATCTGTCTCCTGATGTGTTGCTGAAGTGAATAAAGGATTCTGGTAATAGCAGTTTCTCTCATCTCAGTAGAAAATGAGCAAAAAGTGTGGTAAATAAATTAGGGTATTCTTGATTCCGCTGCAGTAAGATTGGTGGCTTACAACACAAACAGGATTTCTAGACCATGTTCCACTGACTACTGCTAGTAGGTTGGGGAATTAACTGGTAGCTTACAAGGGCAGAGGAGGCTAATGAAGATTTAACTCAGTCTCACCAGTCAAAAGACAAAGTACAATCATGTGAGCACCCAGTTTAATGTATCAGATCATCCAGAATTGTAAAAGGTTGTTTTTTTTTTTTTTTTTCCAAATGACCCAGGTGTCCCCTGGCAGAGGGAGGGGTATGTAAGCTGTGTTCCCATGCAAAGGAATGCTGTGCAGCAACACAGTTAACAAGTACAAGCACCAAGGGGCCACATCAGGAATGGTGTAGAAAAAGCAAAAAGGCTCAGAGTATTGAATGGTCTATCTAGGTTTTTGAAGAGTTGTATCACGAAAACTTCCATTGTATAGTAAAATAGGGGAAATAGTGGACTGCAAGTCAACTTACTTTGAACGTATAAGCCTTAGTGTTTATGTAGGGAGTGGGAATATTTATGGGAGATCTCTGGGTTTCTCCATCAAGCAGAAGAGAGATGGTTGTAGTGTCAGTTGCTGGATGGCAGGAAGACCAGCTGGCTTGCCCTGTTGAGTTCTGGAAGAAATGACTGCCCTTTAGAGGAGAGTTTGAAGACTAACCCTGAGGGGGTCTTTCTGGGAACTTCTTAGTAAAAGTGTATTATTAATAAGGTCGTCTTATTAATTGCACCAGGAAGCTGACACCAAGGTGAAGCAAACACAGTAGTGGATCATAGCAGTAAGGACCCCAGGTTGAAGAGTAACTATTCCCTTACCCTTGCCAAGCCATAGCGTCTCGCTCTGTCCCAGGCTGGCTTGAACTAGAGCTGCTTCTGCTGTCGTGCTGGGGTTACAGGCACAGGCCAGGCCAGTCAGGCATTTCCTTTCAACATAACTGATTCCTTAATACATTTAATAGTGGCACAGCAGCAGTCAAAGTAGAAACTAGCTATTGATTTTCCAGTGCAATCCAGGAAATAAAAATGTGCTGAGCAGCTATGTGCCAAGTAGTTGAGAGAATCTGAGAGAAACTCAATTTCCAGTCACAGGGTGGGCGGATTAAGAAGTGATCTCAGATGGTGAATGGCATACATAGCCTTAGGTAACAATCTGATCAGCATGGAGGCATACTGCGTATTAGATTCTGCTTTTTACTAGATGGTACCATATCCATGCTGCATTTCCAGGCAGTTTTGCTAAAGATTAGTGTTAATGTAAATATTCCATTTCATAGTATATTTAGAGAAATTACAATGTTCTAAGCAGATGATAAAATGACAATGCTTTTTCATGTGTGTGTGGAGAGTGTATGTAGATGCTAGAGGTTGATGTCAGCTGTCTTTCTTAATCACTCTCTACTTTATTTACACACCCTCCCCGAGTGCTGGCATTCCAAGCAGGTAGCCATGCCCATCCAGCTTTTATGTGGGAGATAGGTATCTGAGCTCCAGTCCTCACAACTATGCAGCAAGCACTTGATCTACCAAGCCACCTCTTCATTTTTTGTTTTGTTCCTCTACAGAGCCCTGGCTGTCCTGGAACTCACTATATAGACCAGGCTGGCTTCAGACTCAGAGATCCTAATGCCTCTCTCTGCCTCCTGAGTGCTGGGATTAAAGGCACACACTACCGTACCTGGCTATCTGATAATATATATTTTAAATGAACCCCCTCCTACACACACCCCAAAATATCCTGTAATGAAGAACCTTTTGCTGCTTATTACGCCTCATATTCCTTAACAGGTCTAGTATGGGATTCCTTTTTACTTACAGTACCTTGCCCACTGGCCAGAGTATTTCATCGTTGCAGAGGCACCTGGCGGAGAACTAATGGGTTATAGTAAGTACAGAACCACTAGTACTTTTTTTTGGGTGAGTAGAGATTTTAATACAGGTTTCAGTCTGCTTTACTCTATAGAATTTGAAGCAAACCGTGAAGGATGGGATTTTATGTTCTGATCACTTACCAACACTTTACCACATCTCTGTGTCCAGCCTTGTGCTAGGCCAAGAGCTCCAGCAGTGAACCTAACAAACATGATTTAAGTCTTTTTGGATCTTTCATTCCATGTTAGATTCCTATAGTTTGCTTGGTATATAATGCAGCGATTAAAGCATATGCACTTAACTAATTTCTAAAGAAAACTTGAAAGCCGGGCGTGGTGGCGCACGCCTTTAATCCCAGCACTCGGGAGGCAGAGCCAGGCGGATCTCTGTGAGTTCGAGGCCAGCCTGGGCTACCAAGTGAGCTCCAGGAAAGGCGCAAAGCTACACAGAGGAACCCTGTCTCGAAAAAACCAAAAAAAAAAAAAAAGAAAAGAAAACTTGAGCTATGAATTGCTATGATTATATATACATTGTGAATGTAACTTCAAATGTAGCTTATTCAGACAAAAAGTATCCTTAGTTGTCTTTCTTGGTTTTTAGTTTATCATTTTTAAATATTTGAAGTCTGACTTTAGAAGTAAGTATAGAATATTTGCAAGTGGAGTTTCAAATCAAAGTATTAAAACTTTGGTACATTCTTATTATAAAAGATGAATGACAAACTGTAATTCTACATTTATGTGCAAACTAGTGGATTAATTACTGATGCAATTCTCTGTTGGCAGTTATGGGCAAAGCAGAAGGCTCAGTAGCTAGGGAAGAGTGGCATGGACACGTCACAGCTCTGTCTGTCGCCCCTGAATTCCGCCGTCTTGGTTTGGCTGCTAAACTCATGGAGTTACTAGAGGAGATTTCAGAAAGGTGAGAGCCATTTTTCAAATACACCTAGTGATTTATGAACCCTGTTTTGCTGTTGAATATCTGAAGGGTGTTTTCATCTTGTGAGTGTGTGGAACTGACTTAGTAATTTCATTTTCAGCTTGTAGTAGTTCCTACAGTTCTGTTAGATTCATAGTGGTATCGTTGCTGCTCCTTTGCTGTTGAGGAAAACTAACACAGTGTGACCGGCTGTGGACCTCTGATCTAGCTGACGGGTTGGAATCAAACATGACCAACCTTTCAAGGAAGGTCTTTGGTGATCTTGACACTATGGGAGATGTCTCTAGGCATATAAAGTAGTTGAGTTTTAAGTTCGTTTCTGTTCTAACAGCTAGTAGCCATTTATAGAAAAAGAAATAAAATGCTAAGTCCTTTATTTTTAACTATGGCCATCCACTAATGAAGGAGAAGTATACTATTGAGCACTGAATGACTTCTTAAACCTTGAAACACATGCAACATAGCCCATTTCCACTGGTTTTCATGTAAGTACTAGTTTAATCATAGCAAGTGTTAGAAGCCCATTTCATAAAAATTCTGTCATCAAAAGGAAATGTAGCAGTAATGGGTGTGTAGAATTTTGATGTTTTCCCTCAACATCTAAAATAGCCTGTGGCCAGAGCTAAGCACACCTGGCAACAGAATAGTTTTGCTGAAAAAGAAGGTTTTTTTTTTTTTTTTTTTTTTGGGGGGGGGGGGTTTGAGACAGGGTTTCTCTGTGTAGTTTTGGTGCCTGTCCTGGATCTCGCTCTGTAGACCAGACTGGCCTCGAACTCAGAGATCCACCTGGCTCTGCCTCCCGAGTGCTGGGATTAAAGGTGTGTGCCACCACTGCCCGGCTTTTTTTTTTTTTTTTTTAAAGAACATATGCAGTGTTCTGCCTGCAAGCCAGAAGAGGCCGCCAGTTCTCATTACAGATGGCTGTGAGCCACCATGTGGTTACTGGGAATTGAACTCAGGACCTCTGTAAGAACAGCCAGTGCTCTTAACCTCTGAGCCATCTCTCCAGCCTTTGTGATGTTCTGAAAGTTCTCCCTGGACTGAATATTAGGAGGAAGATGGAACACACACATTTATTAATGACATTACTATATGATAGACAGGCAAAGAGGAAATGGGTTCTGATGAGCTGTAACCTTAGCATATGTATTTATGGATTTTATTAATAGGTCTTATATTCTGTCTGTTTAGGTAAGAAAATTACTAATCTGTCTTCCTTTTCAATTTCTGAGACTTCATTATTTTGTGTGAAGTATACACACATAAGCATTATATTCATGTCTTTTTGGATGCATGTTAAATCGTGTAGAAAATAATACTCATATAGGAGTAAAGAATAAAAATCAAGTTAAAAGAGAAAGTAAGTAGCAATGAATGACTAATGACTGCAGTGCCATGGGCTACAGATGCAGCTCAGTAGTCAAGTACAAGACCCTGGGCTCCATCCCCAGCAGTACCAAAAAGAAAAATAATACATATTCCGTTTATAGGACATATATGTAAGATTATAAAGATTGAAAATAAAATATTAAATTATCTTACAAAGTATAGCCAAAAGGCAGCTGATTTTTTCATACTGTAAGGGGCCACTGCATACAGATAAAGGACTTAGCTGGGAATCTGGCATGATGCAAGCCTGAGGGCCAGAGTTCAGATCCCCAGAACCTATGTGAAAAGCTCAACATGGTAATATACCTCTTGGCTCAGTTGCTCATAAGGTAAGATAGAAGTTAGAGACAAGAATCCCCAGAAGCCCAGTTGATGTACACAGTGGAGAACAGGCGAAGCAGGAAGACAAATCCATGGTGGTTCTCTGTCTGCCACACGTGCACCATGGCATGCTCACACTCAAAAGATTTTTCAAAATTTTAATCCACCAAGTGTAACAATGTTATACATCCTGGAAACTACAAAAAAATGGATAAATTGTTACGGAGAGCCGAACCTGCCTCTCTGTAAAAACTGTCAGGTGGCAGGAAGTCAAGTAGGGTACAGAACATAGGTCAGCAAACCTTTTCCAGGGCAGAGGGGGCAGACTGCAGCCACACAGATCTGTTACATAAATTTGCTATCTAGGCAAACAGTTTAAAAGCCATTCTTAGCATGAGGGTGGTACAAAAGGAAATAGTTTGCAAGTCAACCCTATCTTAAGAGTAGCTAGACTTTTTCTACAACAAAAGCCATGTCAGATTTCCAGGCCAGGAATCCTATCACGCAGGAGGATTGCTGTGAATCCAAGGCCAGTTTGGGCTATCCACAGTAAAAAGACTGGACAAAGTGTGTGTGTGTGTGTGTGTGTGTGTGTAGGGAGTCACTTAAAGTAAGGTCAGTTTTAGAAAAGCAAAACCAGTCTTTAGGCTAAGATACCCTTGCCAATGTAAGGACAGAGATCTGAGGAAATGTCACCAGCGTGCACAAGCTGCAGAAAAACTGCTGGTAGATAGCTTCAGAGTCAAAAGAATACACCAGGAGCCAAGGTGTTTGATTATTCATTAGCTATAGTGTAGATAACTAACTAGAAAATAGGTGAGGAGAGTATCTTAACCTGAAAAAAGTTTGTACAAAACCTTGTAGAGTGTTTGATGACAGTCTGCAGCCAGGGACAAAGGTCAGTCAGCCCCTCTTCAAAATAGACTGGAAATCCACATAGCAAAGGAAAGTAAGAAAAAATGGAAAAGGACTGAGAGGCAAGCATTCTATCTGCGACAGCAGTTTTGTTAAGTACTTAGAATTAATTAAAAACAATAGATTTTAATATACCAACAGTAAAACCTAGAAAGAGGTGAGGTGTCATTAAAATTGGCATCAAAGCATTAATATGCTTGAGAAAAATCTAAGCAAAACCATGTGAGAGTACTCTTAACATTTATAGTAGTGGACCGAGATGGAAAGAAAGTACTGTGAGTTTTGGGACCAGCCTTAAGGCCAAAGTAATTATAGCCAGAATCCTACTGGGGGCGGGGGTGTTAAGATATAAACAGGGGAAAAAGAAACAGCAACAAGCCGGGCGTTGGTGGCGCACGCCTTTAATCCCAGCACTCGGGAGGCAGAGGCAGGCGGATCTTTGTGAGTTCGAGGCCAGCCTGGGCTACC